CCAAAGATATCCAAAGACTTGTCAGACCAATTTTACCAGACACGCGAACGAAATTCATTCTTTAGTCTATCGTTATACTCGTTCAAATGAAAAGATGACAAAAAAAAACGAAATAGGTCAACATCATTCATGCGTTAAATGGACATTAACGCTTTTCTCTCCCTATCTTTCTTTTTCATCGACCAAACTATCATTTTTACGTTCAATGTACAATACTTGCGAACAGATGGCGACACAACGATGAGTCATCATACTTACATGTTTCATATGTATATACATGATTAAGTACTTTACTGATAGAGACCTGACATATACATACCTTTTTCTTTGATCACCTAGTGATATTTTTATTAAATCATGTTTCTTCATTCGCCGCCAATAAATAAGCAATATAAAGAAAAAAACAAAACAAAACGTGTTTGTTTTTCATCTGTATCATAAAACGGAGTTGTTTGGAGGGTAAAGCCGAATGTCAAATCATAATCAAGCTTGGAGAATCACGAGTGTAGATTTACACAAGAAAGTAATTCCGATAAATAAAAATCATTACGTATTTGGCAAACATCAATTAGGAAGTGGAGCATTTGGAAGAGTTTACCCAGCACAACGACAAAAAGATGGTTTGTCCTATTCGAATATTTAATTGAATTTACATTTTCTTTCTTTTTTTTTGAAAGGCGTCAATGTTGCAGTAAAAGTCGTTAGTTTAGCTGAAAGCTCATCGTCGTCATCATATCTAGTTGAATCGTTTTTGAATGAAGTTCGACAATCAACGCGATTATCATCGGAATCGAAACATGTTGTGAAAATGTTTGATTTTGATTTTCATCCGTCCGGTTTAGCTTTTATTGTTATGGAGCGTGGTGATCAAGATTTAGAAAAGACTCTTATAAGTCAACCAACTTTACCAGTCAGTCAACAAAAAGTTCTATGGAGACAAATTCTAAATATTCTCATTACACTACATAAACATTCAATTGTGCGTGGTTTTATCGAATCGTTTTCAGTCAGTATCTTCTTTTTTTTTCTACTTAGGTTCATTTGGACTTGAAACCGTCGAATCTTGTGTTTTTTGGTAATCGATTAAAACTAGTGGATTTAGGTATTGCACAGAAAGCCAATACTCGAGGGTAAAATTTCCTCTGCACTCTCGCTAAAGCAACTAAGTCTCATCCTTCATTTCTAGGCAAGGTCCAAACGGCACATTCGGTTACACTGCACCTGAAGTTCGTCTCGCTCCACATGATGCTTGGCCTCGTTACACAAGTAGAGCTGATATTTGGTCTGTCGGAGCTATTCTGTACTGGATCAATTACGGAACTTCTCCTAAATACGATCATCATAATCGATCTTATCGTCCGCCTCATGACCTTCCATCAATTAAAGAGGAAAATATCGTTGATGTCCTTCGACATACACTTCAAATGGACCCATATCAGCGATCATCAACAAATTGGCTTGCTCAACATTCATTTACACGTTCTTCATAATAATAAAAAAAAAACGGTGAAATTTTTTTCAATTTTTATTTCTTTTAATGAACCAAAAAATAAAAAGAAACAAATTGTAACGAGTTCTTTACAGATTGTTATTTATTAAAGCAAAATCGAAAAGAGAAAAATGCACGTAGACAGTGCGACAATTAGACAAGTCAAATCAAGCGTATCTTTTTGCTCTCTTTCAATATATCAAAGAGAATATTTGACCGTATAAAATTGCATTGACCAACTGATCAATTTACTCAAAATTGGTGCGAATGTTCACTTCGAATTCGAAATTCTCCTATAAATTGCACAATTAAAATCGTTTCTATCTGCTTGATCATACAAGAAGATTTCTGAGTATTGTCGATCAAAGCCTACATACTGGACGCGATGAAGAGAATTGCAACATCATTAACCTTTCTTTTTCCACATTGATCGTGGAGAAGAATCTAATACTAGATTCAAGTGTTAGATATTGAATTAAGTTGTCTTTTTGTTACTCGTTCGCATTTGAGTGCATAAATGAATTGATTGATTTCAAAATCTCCTTTTTACTAAACTCTTTTCATTATGATACAAATGTATCGAGAATTACAATAAAATCGCTACAGCAAGAAACAAAGGTAATTGATTGCTGTGAAAAATGTACCTATTCCGTAAGCGCTAGAAATCTCCAGTTTTTGTGCACATCTTTGATCAATTCTTTACAAAGCTAATTCCCTTTACATAAAATTTGTATAAGAATGTGAGAACCATACACAGGAATTCACAAGAGTCACATATGATATCAGCTGCCTACCGTTTTATAGAACATCATGCTATTGATGACAAGCTTTTTGCCTGTAGAACACACCTCGGCAAACTCTTCAACAGAATATGTTCACTGATATTCTCTATAACATGAGTATTCATTATTAGTATTTGTATGAACTAACCTAATTATTACAAATAAGTTAGAGACTTTCTCAAACCATTGTTGCTTTGACTGAAGGGATGAAGAAGTGAAATGCGCATGAATATAGTACTGATTTGTAACAAACCGCTGAATAGACATCGAGTCTTTACCAACAAAAAAAAAGACTTCTATTTTTTTTCGTATAGAGGTATCAAATGACAAATCTTGTGACGGGAGAGGAGCGTTTTCTAATATCCATGATTTTCTTCTATGCTTAAAATCATCGCTCAGATCGAACGCCTATCAGAATAAACTGTCTAGCCGTGTTAGCACTATATATCCGCTGTTCACGTCGTGTCCTTTTCTACATAATTTATTTTTTTATCGTTCTCATCAAAGATGACATATAATTCTCCAATATGGTGTGCTGAAATGGATAAAATACAGTCCATCGTCTATCTGGATAGTACTGCAAAATGTTATCGAAAAAAAGACGTCTTTTCAACTAATACATCATTCGAGAACAATGAATTGATATAACGATTCAAATTGAAGAGCCAGTATATACTGTAACTTCTATCTGACTGATTCAAATAGAACAAAGCCAACGAGAAGTGTAGCGTCACCTTGAATAGAAAGAATCTGAAATTGCAAAATCATCTTATTAACAAAATCTATTCAGTTTTCTATTTCGATTGCGAGTTTATTCTCTTTTCTATTTCGATTGCGAGTTTATTCTCTTTTGCATTTCATTTCACAAAAAGCAATGACGATAATTTCTTGAAATTTATTTCGATTACGATCGAGTTTTTCTCTTTATTCATTGTTTGATACGTTTCTATTCATCGATTGATGTACATAAACATGTAACAAAATACTGTAAAGAGGTATATGACAATTTCTTTCTTTGTCCGAAAGCGAAAGAGCGAGAGAGAGAGAGAGAGAGAGAGAAAACGTGCATAACACACAGTGACGAACGGGCAAAAGTCAACACATTTCTTTTTCTCTTTCTCTCTTCTGTATAGATGAAAGAGAATATTCAACCATATCAAATAATTCTCTTCAATAAAACAGATTCGCTTCGCGTTTTTTCCTTGTTTATTTTAAAGAAAAACGAATATGAACAGAATAAATTTTCTTCTCTTTCTCTCGTCATTTAGTTGATTAGGATCATTAGCGTTTCATTCCAGTCATAACAAACTTCTGTTTTTCTTTTCTTCATGAACAGTCAGATGATTAATGTTTCTTTTTTTCTCACCAGAAGATAAAAAGCCTCTTGAGTCTTTTACATCATCATCATCATCTGTATACTTTAAAGACAATCATCATAAAATGAATCTTAGCTTTGGGCAAAATGACAACCTTGTTCAAGGATACATTCTCTTTTACAGAATAGACCTCATTATTCCGTCCATGTCATTACATGTCTTCTATTCTTATTCAAGTGTATCTATGCTTACATAAAACGTAAAGAAGAAGAAGAAGATTGATATATACATTGTCGAGAAATGATGAGTCTATATGAATCGATACGGTAAGATGAACACATCTCGGTATATTTTTTAAACTTCACCAAATATTCTTATTGGCCTTTTTTATTCAATCGCGTGAGTAAAGAGAGAAAGATTGATTGTTGTCCGTTAAGCCTGCGGTGGTCATGTGTCCAACTTAATAAGAATAACAAAGAGAAAGGAACTACCTATTGGTTCCATTTGAACAAATATATTCTTCAAAAGAGATCAAACAAATGACATTTTCTCTTTTTGAAGGATTAATTATTCCAGTAAGAAAAGCACGAAGAAAAAAAAGTTTTCATTGATTTTCTTCGATGAACTATGATGTCAAAGATTTGTTCTTCTCTCTCCCTCGTTTTCTGTGTTAATACGAATGAATCTAGTTAAAATGAATTGAGTTCATTAGATATTTGACACATCCCAGTTGTTCTTTAGTCTTTCTGAACATTGTCTTGTCGAGTAGAAATATAAATGAGAGAAGACAATTAACATATTGATCATTCACTAGACACTATAGTCTATCGTCTTCGACAAGCTTTTGACTAATTGACATTGTAATGGGACATAACTCCTTCTTCTTCTTCTTCTTCGTTTTGTTGTTGTTGTTCAACTTACACTTTCCGTTTCAGATTGATGACGACACTCGATGTTTTTACTCTTATTCTACTTCCTGTTAGCTCAATTCATCTCTTGTGAAAAGATCATCAGTCAATTTATTCAAGAACCTGAAGATGTTGAAACGATCATTGGATCAACAGTAATTCTTCATTGTCGAACGGAGCCTCTTGATGAAAGTCAAGTTACGTGGTGTAAAAATGACTTTTGTACATTAGGAAAAACACGTGATCTACCTTTCTATCCTCGATATGAAATCATTGGACAAGCTCGACAAGGTATGTCATCTGATAAATGGCGATGTTATCTCTGAGAAGTTTTTTGTGTATCTAGGTCAACATCATTTCAAGATCGTTAATGTTTCCTTAGAAGACATGGGAGTGTATCAATGCCAAATCCGAGCAGGAGCACGACGAGCTGGTGCTATGTCTCGGAAGGCAAAGTTAACTGTCCTACGTATGTTTCATACATTGAACCAAATAGGAACTTGTTTTCTCTTCTTCTCTCAGAAATTCCAACTAGTTTAACGATCGACAGTCCAGTTGTTTTAATAGAAAATGTTCTGTCGTTCATTGTATGTCGTGCGAATAATGCAATGCCCGAGGCGAAACTATCTTGGCATTTACCAAAATCGATTAGTTATTTATCAAAAAATGATTATGCACTTATATCTGATCAATCATTAAGAAATTCAATTTCGAATATAACATTTCTCCCGAATAGATCATTTCATGGAAAGTTAATTCAATGTCAAGCACATTCATCTGCTATTGACATTAACAATCAAACGATGATAACAGAACAATATATTCAAACGATTTGTAAGCAGAGAAAAAGGATAAGAAAATCTTCATCTATCCATTGATGATGTTTTAGTTGCACCTGAAATTAATTTAACGCTAGATGGAAAGCAAACTGAAGGTGAATTGATACGTATCACGTGTGAGATTTCNATGGAAAGTTAATTCAATGTCAAGCACATTCATCTGCTATTGACATTAACAATCAAACGATGATAACAGAACAATATATTCAAACGATTTGTAAGCAGAGAAAAAGGATAAGAAAATCTTCATCTATCCATTGATGATGTTTTAGTTGCACCTGAAATTAATTTAACGCTAGATGGAAAGCAAACTGAAGGTGAATTGATACGTATCACGTGTGAGATTTCTTCTCGACCGGATTTTGATGAGATTCAGTGGTTTAACGGAAGTGTTTTATTGAATATGACGAATCAGACTCGTTTGGAAGTCAAATTAACGCGGTATATGCATGGAAATCGGATCAGTTGTCAAGTCAAAAATCAAGTCGGCAAACGAAATCAATCGTTAACATTACAAGTCAACTGTACGATGAAGTTGATTTGATGTCAATATAGTCAATACATTGTTTTCATATTTTAGATAAACCAGTCTTTGTCGATCTTCATGGAAATGAAATGAACAATTATTCCGTTGTTTTAGTCGATGAAGAGCAAACAGTCGAACTTCAATGCTTAGTTAGTTCATTTCCGTCATCAATAATCTCATGGATATTTAATGAGAAAATTCTTTCGACAAATCAAACAACTTTAAAAATCGATCATCTGCCAATCGGCCTGTATGTCTGTACTGCTCATCACCCTCTATTTGGAATATTTAATCGAACGATACGAGTTGCTTTGAAAGGACCACCGGAAATGCTCGAAGAAACAACAATTCATTCCGCTTATGTTGGACAATCGGCTTTGCTTGTTTGTTCTATATCAAAAGATATCCCAACCGAAGTTTGTTGTTTCCGGATTGAAAATTCTCTATAGAATCAGTTTTCTCTAGGAAATCTTCTGGTCACGTGACGGTCAATCGAAAATCAACTCCAATGAAAAATATGAAATCGAAGATAATCGAACAGATCGGCTGATTGAATATAAACTATTGATTAAAAACGTGTTCGTATCAGATGAAGATTCGTATATTTGTACAACAATGAATCAATATGGTTCATCCATTGCTAAATTTCAATTACGAGTGATCAGTTTGAAAAATTACTTTATTCAACGTTCGTTTCTTTATGGTTCAATCTTTCTTGGACTTTCGTGTTGTTTGATATTAATTGTCATTACATTAATTAATCATTATCGACGAAAAAATCATCAACGAATAAGAAAACGTTCTTCGACGACAGATGAAACAATATCATCTCTAGCGAAACAACACGATCAGATGCAGCATGATTATCAAGATGAAACAAATTCGAATATGGATCAATATCTTTTTCACGAACAATTTATCAATAATCATAGAGACGTAAGATTCTTATCTCGTCCAATAAGCATATATTATTGTGATTCATTTTAGGATATCTGTGATTCTTCACACGATGATCAATTTTATTTTCGAGACAATCTTGAACGATATTCTACAGTTGTTTAAACGGAAAGATTTTAGTGTCATGATGTACGTGTGTGTTTTTTTTATTCAATTCAAATTTATTTCTCTTTGTATTTTGTTTCGATCAATAAAATCGCCATTTCTCATGAACTCAACTGGAAACTATTTCTTTTGGGCCATTTCCGAACGGAAGAAAGGAACTGGAAAATGGTAGTCGTATTTCATTTACTTCAAGCGGTTTTCTCATTCAAACACACACTGATAAACCTTGACCTGTTCATCTGTAGTATTCGTCTATAAATGAACTTTGAAATGTCCGAAGGGTTACGATATTGCTACTGACGGTAAATGCAAAGATCTATATATATAAACTACTATACTTAGCATATTCCCGATTGAGAATCAACGGATGTATCATATTCAGCGATAAGAACTCATAGTCGTATCATGCTTAACAGATTTTGCTGTCCAATTTTATCTCAAATTGTTTAGCAATGTGTTTACCATTGATTCCTTGCGTAATACTAACAATACGATGAGAGTTTAAGATTGAAATTGACGTTATTCAACGAAATACTCGAATATGATTGTAAAATTGTCCCATTGCTTCGTCACAGGTCAAAAATAGGAAAACTCACGTTATCATTGATTATCTATGATCGGGTTGCATTCATCTAGTTAACTGTATTCTCATTGATATGTTGAATCTTTCTCCATTTATTTTTAGTATTCTTACTAAAAATTTATCACACTCGAAAATGAGAAAAGGAGAAAGAGTGATCTCCAAGTTGATATACATTGTACATCATATATTATTGAATGAAATATATTTTTTACTGGTAAAAAATAAATGACACGAATGCGGATGTCCAAATTCTACAAATTTAAATTTAACATTTGAAAAAAAAGACTACATAATCAAAAGAATCAATTTCATGCATTTAGCTCTTTGTCAAGATTTGTCAACCAATTTTTGATAATTTCATTGATTTCATAAAATGATGCCAAATGACCGCCCTCAAGAATTCGAAGTTCTGCATTTGGATAACTTTTCACCAGATATGTGGACATTTCCATATGAGCTAATTTATCATCTTTTCCAGATATAATCAACACTTTTCGCTTTGGTAATGATGGGAGTTTTTGCGGATCAAAACCCCAATCCTCATGTAAAACTTGTGCAACTGTATTGAATCCAATCATTGTTTTAGAAATACTCAAGCACATGTTTCTTGCCATCTTATTGAGAACCCATTCCGATGGTCTATTTCTCTCCTCTTCCCATTTTCGCAGTTTAGTCTTTTCTTCATCATCCATTTGATCAAATATATATGTTCGCAAGAAATTTTTCGCTTCATCAATATTCCGAGTTTTCTTTTGAATAAATGATCCCATAAGTCTTCTAATAGACGGAAAATAAATAGCTGGTATGCCAACTCCAAAATAATTTAACCAACTCATTCCAGTTGTATATTCTCGGTGATATTTAAACGGAGAAAAGCTAGAACAAATAAGTAATGATTCAACATTGTTAGCTTCAGGCATTACATCGGTGGATGTACCAAAACATATTTGAGCGAAAACAGTTCCATAGCTGCCACCTGCAACAGTAATTCGTAGATTTTTATAATCATTTTTTTTCAAAGATGCTAATAGTTGATGAATATCGTTAGGATATTTTGAAATCGATTGATTTTCAGGCCATGGTGAACTATTGCCCCAGCCAGGAAGTGTAGGAGCAATGAAATGATACCCTATATCTTGGTAAAGCTTTGTTTCAATCGATGAGTCACCCACACCGAATACTCCATGAAAGAAGATGATAATTTTATCACTACTTGTGTCACCTGTTTCAGTATATGCTAATTGTCGACCATCGGAAAGCGTTACATACTTCTCGTCAGGAAGTCGAAGGTCGTTAGAAACTGAAGATGCATCTGATGGATTCATTTTCGAGTGATTTAAGCNATAACATTTCTCCCGAATAGATCATTTCATGGAAAGTTAATTCAATGTCAAGCACATTCATCTGCTATTGACATTAACAATCAAACGATGATAACAGAACAATATATTCAAACGATTTGTAAGCAGAGAAAAAGGATAAGAAAATCTTCTACTATTCATTGATGATGTTTTAGTTGCACCTGAAATTAATTTAACGCTAGACGGAAAGCAAACTGAAGGTGAATTGATACGCATCACGTGTGAGATTTCTTCTCGACCGGATTTTGATGAGATTCAGTGGTTTAATGGAAGTTTTTTATTGAATATGACGAATCAGACTCGTTTGGAAGTCAAATTAACGCGGTATATGCATGGAAATCGGATCAGTTGTCAAGTCAAAAATCAAGTTGGCAAACGAAATCAATCGTTAACATTACAAGTCAACTGTACGATAAAGTTGATTTGATGTCAACATAGACAATACATTGTTTCCATATTTTAGATAAACCAGTCTTTGTCGATCTTCATGGAAATGAAATGAACAATTATTCCGTTGTTTTAGTCGATGAAGAGCAAAGAGTCGAACTTCAATGCTTAGTTAGTTCATTTCCGTCATCAATAATCTCATGGATATTTAATGAGAAAATTCTTTCGACAAATCAAACAACTTTAAAAATCGATCATCTACAAATCGGCTCCTATATCTGTACTGCTCATCATCCTCTATTTGGGATATTTAATCAAACGATACGAGTGGCTTTGAAAGGACCACCGGAAATGCTCGAAGAAACAATAATTCATTCCGCTTATGTTGGACAATCGGCTTTGCTTATTTGTTCAATATCAAAAGATATTCCAACCGAAGTTTGTTGTTTCCGGATTGAAAATTCCCTATAGAATCAGTTTTCTCTAGGAAATCTTCTGGTCACGTGACGGTCAATCGAAAATCAACTCCAATGAAAAATATGAAATTGAAGAAAATCGAACAGATCGGCTGATTGAATATAAACTATTGATTAAAAATGTGTTCGTATCAGATGAAGATTCATATATTTGTACAACAATGAATCAATATGGTTCATCCATTGCTAAATTTCAATTACGAGTGATCAGTTTGAAAAATTATTTTATTCAACGTTCGTTTCTGTATGGTTCAATCGTACTTGGACTTTCGTGTTGTCTGATATTAATTGTCATTACATTAATTAATCATTATCGACGAAAAAATCATCAACGAATAAGAAAACGTTCTTCGACGACGGATGAAACAATATCATCTCTAGCGAAACAACACGATCAGATGCAGCATGATTATCAAGATGAAACAAATTCGAATATGGATCAATATCTTTTTCACGAACAATTTATCAATAATCATAGAGACGTAAGATTCTTATCTCGTCCAATAAGCATATATTATTGTGATTCACTTTAGGATATCTGCGATTCTTCACATGATGATCAATTTTATTTTCGAGACAATCTTGAACGATATTCTACAGTTGTTTAAACGGAAAGATTTTAGTGTCATGATGATGTACGTGTGTTTTTTTTTATTCAATTCAAATTTATTTCTCTTTGTATTTTGTTTCGATCAATAAAATCACCATTTTTCATGAATTCAACTGGAAACTGTTTCTTTTGGGCCATTTCCGAACGGAAGAAAGGAACTGGAAAATGGTTGTCGTATTTTATTTACTTCAAGCGGTTTTCTCATTCAAACATACATTGATAAACCTTGACCTGTTCATCTGTACAATTCGTCTATAAATGAACTTTGCAATGTCCGACAGGTTACAATATTGTCATTGACGTTAGATGCAAAGATCTGTATATATATAAACTACTGTATCTAGCATATTCCCGATTGAAAATCGACGGATGTATCCTATTCAGTGATAAGAGCTTATAGTCGTACTATGCTCAACAGATTTTGCTGTTCAATTTTATTTCGAGTTGTTTAACAATGTGTTTACCGTTGATTCTAGAGATTAATGAATTGATTCCTTGCGTAGTACTAATAATACGATGTGAGTTTATAATTGACATAGACGTTATTCAACGAAATACTCGAATATGATTGTAAAATTGTCCCATTGCTTCATCACAGGTTAAAAATAGAAAAAGTCATATTATCATTGATTATCTATGATCGAGTTGCATTCATCTAGTTAACCGTATTTTCATTGATATGCTGAATCTTTCTACAATTATTTTTAGTATTCTTACTAACAATTTATCACACTCGAGAATGAAAAAACGAAGAAAAGTGATCTTCAACTTGGTATCAAAAATAAATTACAAGAATGCGGATGTCCAAATTCTACAAATTAAAATTTAATATTTGAAAAAAAGGTACATAATGAAAAGAATCAATTTTATGCATTTAGCTCTTTGTCAAGATTTGTCAACCAATTTTTAATAATTTCATTGATTTCATAAAATGATGCCAAATGACCACCATCAAGAATTCGAAGTTCTGCATTTGGATAACTTTCCGCCAGATATGTCGACATTTCCATATGAGCTAATTTATCTTCTTTTCCAGCTATAATCAACACTTTTCGCTTTGGTAATGATGGGAGTTTTTGCGGATCAAAACCCCAGTCCTCATGTAAAACATGTGCAACTGTATTGAATCCAATGATTGTTTTAGAAATACTCAAGCACATGTTTCTTGCCATCACATTGAGAACCCATTCCGATGGTTTATTTCTTTCCTCCTCCCATTTTCGCAGTTTAGTCTTTTCTTCATTATCCATTTGGTCAAATATATGTGTTCGCAAGAAATTTTTCGCTTCATCGATATTCCGAGTTTTCTTTTGAATAAATGATCCCATAAGTCTTCTAATAGACGGAAAATAAATAGCTGGCATGCCAACTCCAAAATAATTTAACCAACTCATTCCAGTTGTATATTCTCGATGGTATTTAAACGGAGAAAAGCTCGAACAAATAAGTAAGGATTCAACATTGTTAGCTTCAGGCATTACATCGGTGGATGTGCCAAAACATATTTGAGCGAAAACAGTTCCATAGCTGCCACCTGCAACAGTAATTCGTAGATTTTTATAATCATTTTTTTTCAAAGATGCTAATAGTTGATGAATATCGTTGGGATATTTTGAAATCGATTGATTTTCAGGCCATGGTGAACTATTGCCCCAACCAGGAAGTGTAGGAGCAATGAAATGATACCCTATATCTTGGTAAAGCTTCGTTTCAATCGATGAGTCACCCACACCGAATACTCCATGAAAGAAGATGATAATTTTATCACTACTTGTGTCACCTGTTTCAGTATATGCTAATTGTCGACCATCGGAAAGCGTTACATACTTCTCNTTGATTTTCAGGCCATGGTGAACTATTGCCCCAACCAGGAAGTGTAGGAGCAATGAAATGATACCCTATATCTTGGTAAAGCTTCGTTTCAATCGATGCGTCACCCACACCGAATACTCCATGAAAGAAGATGATAATTTTATCACTACTTGTGTCACCTGTTTCAGTATATGCTAATTGTCGACCATCGGAAAGCGTTACATACTTCTCACCAGGAAGTCGTAGATCGTTAGAAACTGAAGATGCATCTGATGGATTCATTTTCGAGTGATTTAAGCAACTAAAGATAGAAAAAAGCAGAGTAGTGTCATGAAAATCTCAATGACTATCATCTCATAGTTGCACTCGTGATCGTGTTAGAGAAAAATAACGTCTAGAAGAATAGCTGAAACGGTCTATACTTAGGAACTGGAAGTTGTTGATGAAAACACTAGCAGATGAAGAAATACAAAAAGAAGTAAATGAGTTTCGTATTATGCGTTAAACTGCGTCACGCAAAATAAAATCACTGTCTAGCGTCGAATTTGTTTGAACGAAAAGTGTTAATCTTAATGTATTCGATAAAGTGAAAGGAATATATAATTGATGGAGCAATGGTACTGACACGTTGACAATAATGACGCAGAAAAGAGAAAAAAAGTCAAACACGTGTCTCAGAGATGTCGCACATGCGCCTGTGTCATCCATACAGATTTTAGTTTTCTCCACAAGCTCTTTTGATCGGAATAATTTCGATCGCGAATGCACCGATACGATGGATGTAATTAAAAATTTCCGAGAAATTCTATAACGTGTCCAAGTTATTCTGTATTCTTTTTGTCTTTTATTTCGTCAATACAGTAAAATATAACTTAGACGAGATGTTCAATAGTTCCTACTCCATTCTCATCAATCGATATTTTGAATTTCAACGGATCATTCAACGGTTGAGATGGAGACATAGGTGAAGATGCTGCATTGACAAGTAGAACTCCAGCTTCTTGCTGATATACCCCATAATCAGCATGAATGTGACCGAAAACTGACAGTAGAGGTCTGACTTTATCTAATCTTGATTTTAAATTAAATTCTAAATCAGGATGTGAATCGTTATGTGCATAGGGTGGATTATGAGTGATAACAACATGAGACTTTAATGGAATATCTGACCAAGATGAGTCACCTACGGGGCGCCATGGTACACCATAGATTCGAAGACAGTTATCAATAATGATCTCTTTGTTTTTCAACACGGTTCCATAGTTAAGATCTACGTTTGTAATAGTTTCATGATTTCCACCAACAACTAATTTATAACGAAATGGAAGTTCTTTTAACCATTGATCAAAATCTTCAAATGGTTGAGCACCACGACTAAAGTTTGTCATATCACCAGCATGAATAAGAATATCACCGGAATGAGTAGTTTTTAATCGATCGGTGAGTTGGCGATGCTTTTGATGCGTATCACTGACACAAACGACTATCCAAGATTTCGTAGAAGATGACAACATTCTTGCGTATACTTACTTAACAGACAATTGACAAAAAAACATTCTCTTTCAGTGAATCACATGTGGTGAATCATGGTACAACATCCCACCAATCTCATTTTACCGTGAGAGCTAGACGTTTTCGGTGTCTTTTCGAAAATTACATCATATGGTAAAAAGTCAATGAATTACAACCACTTGTTTAAAATCGGAGTGACATCAACGTTGGTAGCATTCAGAAAGAAAAGAGGAAACTGTTTCATAGAAAATGGAGTGATATACTGGTGAACTTCTGACCATTGCATCAGGTAGATTATACCATCACGAAGACTTCTACAATAATGAAAACAATATACGTAATCAATCTCATTTTCTGTTCCACTTACTTCCGTTTCTGTGTTTTTGATTGAATAAATTCATCGATCTCTTTCGCTAGTAAAGCGCCTCGCGAAAAGACGTTCGTACCTGTTCGAAAATCAGTTGAATATAGAGATGATGCGATCATCGACACATATTCTAATGACATGTGCTTTATAAATAACGGTGTCGCATTAAAATAATGTTCAAAACGATTCCTGATAAAATATTGCCGATATTCGTACGATTCATTTAATGGTAACACACTGGCCATGGCGTCCATCGCTATGTATTGACCAAAACCCTAAACAGTGTAAACATATATAGTACTCTCTCTACATACGATAAATAAATACTTCATTAAACCATATTGTGTCGATAACTGGCGTTAATTCAAATGTGAATGGATAGTAGAATTTAGAAAATAATCGCTTTGGTATCCAAGCATGCTGGATATGATGTGCGAGATTATATTGGAAGATTTTGATTATTTCTTGTGTACTGTTTCTGTTTACACCCGAACCATACTGAACATTGATTGTACAACTATTCAAATGTTCTATACTGAAACCGTACGAATGCTGTTCATCCAATGGCATAATCATTTCGATGGCCACTGTATAGAATAAAAATGGCATACTTTCATAGTATATCAATATATTTTGCATGGCAGATACACTCAAATCAGCAACCATACTAACATTCAGATTATAAGAATCTTCCGTATAAGCAACTACGTAAAATGGCAATATTTTGTGAGCATGCTCTTCTTTGTCGTAAAGGATAGATAGAGAATGAAAACTCATATTTGGTCCCATATATATTTGTGAATCGGCTAAGTGATAGTAATTTTTCGCTAGGCCATACGCCTGTCCATATGGTAATTGACTAGTTGGCGACAATGTTAAATGAATTGGCCAGTTCGATGGACTGCGAACATTCAACATGATAGGAAAATGCTCCTTCTGATCCATTTGTTCCAAATAGCCGAAGACAGAATAGCCTAGAATACCTATATATCGATCAAGTCGTATTTTTGATGCATCACCAGCACTCAGTATCCCTTGCTCATGTTTTGTCAAATCAATCGAATACGATATTGTTGATAGTGTTTCATTCGGTAAGCATTCCACTGACCACCGTGGGCCGCTAATAGATTCTTTTTTTATTGGAATAAAACCTCCATTGAGACTGACGGCTGTTAAATTGTCGACGTAAAAATCATAGAATTCTAAATTGTAGCCAGAAGGAACAGAACGTGGCATTATGAATGTTTGTCTTCCAGTTAAATTAAACTCAGTCTTCTTATGAGGCATAAATTGAATATCAATATGGACAATTGTCGATCGAGTAGTATTGTAAGACACAGTATACACTGCATAGACAGTTGTTGAATCGATGGATGTTGAAAATGAAGACGTCGCAAATATTACAATCGATACTACTAGGAAAGACATACTGCGTTTGTATTCGAATAGATTCATATGCGGTTTCAGAAAGAAAGTTGATGACAACGATTTACTTTCTGGAGTACAAACACAATTTTTCATATCAACATCGAGTATGCCACATTTTTTTTCACTTGAAGCGAAAGCATGTGCGCAGCTCAGATATGATAAAGTTTCAACAGAATAAAAAGAACGGTAAGACAGAAAGAGAATGTATGGGTGATTCAGCTAAAAATCAAGATCAGATGTCGCAAGCTGAATTCGTTTTCAGTCGTTCGTTTAAAGGATGGCAGTTTTTTTTATATATAAGATCAGACAGTCCAATTATAAATTAATTGAATCAGCAGTAGAACAAATAGAGTGAATATGCTTGACGCAAGAGAAAAGACTTTATTTTGCAGTAAAAAATCGACGGGTGCTTATAATTTTATGCATCCACCGGATTTCTGATTACATCTTGTACCGGTTGGACAGCAGTGTCGACCATCATCGCAACACACACCCTACAAAGAGATCGTCGATGATCGATCGGCAAGAACGAAGCAAAACCTTACATTATGATGAGCACAGCAAGCATATTGATCATCGTGTGACTTGCAACAAGTTTGATTTGATGGACAAACAATATCTGACGATCCACATTGAATAAAATCTTGATGTTTTTCTGCTGAGATAGTTGAATTCAATTGACATGTGAGTTGTCGTTCATCGCAAATATATTTAAATGGACAACAGATCGAACCATTTGAACCACAACAAACACCCTTTAATAGACTCTTGTTTTTTTTTGTCATCTAGTTTAGATAAACGAAGAACTTACTCGTGCGTATGGACAACATGAATAGGTAATTTCATTCTGATCTTTATTTGGACAACATGTAGAATTTAACGAACATTTAGTTATTCCATCGGGACAGGTTTGTTCTTGGAAAGCGGTTAACAAAATCATTTTTTGATTTGCAAGTTCGGTGGCATCGATTGCATCGAAATGTTTGATGCATCTTGAACCAGAGTCATCACATGAAAAACCATTTCCACAGCAATGAACTTTATCCGAACAACACGATGCTTGCTGATACGGACAACAACCGTAGCTGCCATCTGTTAACTCACAACAGGTTGTATCCTCAGGACAAAAGGATTTTTCATCTAGAAATCAACAAAAGTCAGACCTCTTCGAAGGAGAAAAAAAAGGAAACTCACCAGGACATTGAACGGTTGATAATGAAAGTTTTGTTAAACTTCTATTGATTGGACGAGCTGATTTTTTTGTAAACCATGGAATGGAGAGTCCTCGTTGACATTTGTTATGTTCCACATCACATGTGTATCCATGTGGACAACAATGACTATGATCACTGCAGCAAACTGCATCAGCTAAACATAAAAGAGAAGATGCTTTTATTCGAACAATTCCAAGGAAAACCTACGCAATGGGCAGCAGCCGTATTCACCGGATTGTAATTCACAACAAGTTTCATCTACAATAAACGTTTTATTTTTGAAGTCGATCAATAAAATATTCAAACCATCAGCACAAGACATTTCACCACCGGGACACACGACACCGTTGAGTTGATCAAATCCTTTTTGACATCGTCCATGTTCAACATCACATGTATAGCCATTTGGACAGCAATGAAGGTGATCACTACAGCACACCGCACCAGCTATGAATGAATACAGTTTCAAAAAAGTTCCTATTTAATCAGAAAAAATGGCGTACGAATTGGACAGCAGCCATATTGACCCGTAGACAATTGACAACACGTTTCACCATCAGGACAAGAACTAACGACAAATATTTGATCTTTATTTTAAATATCTTCTTTCATTTACCTTTGACCATCTATTTAAAAAGGGTAAGAAAATATTTGCGTAAATGAAATTGAATGATTTTACCTGGACATGGAACTGATCCTACTTGATGTAGATGAGATCCTAATGGAAATGTCCACTAAATAAATGATCGAAGAAATTTTTCGGTAAATCATAGAAAAATGAAAATACAATTACATTAGTCGCGCATCCATTTGTCTGTGTAAAAATGAAAGTCAAAGATAAGAGAAGAATAGTCGATTGCATCCTCGCCGAACACTTTCTTTTATTAACTGATCAGCGAACGATTTGTTTTCACTTATTTCTCATACGTATAAAGAACGTTTTCGTAACCAGTGGAGGATAACAAATAAAAGATGTCGCTGATTATTGAATATATTCAGAATAACGAATGTCAATAAAAACGAAAGAAAATGAATTCTGATGAAGTCTCTTTTGTGCTCAGATTACATTCTTCGTATGTCTGCCTCTGCCTTTTCTTTTCAATCAAATCAAAAGTACTTATTTGCTTTGTTATAAGGCACGAAGAAGGCGAATTTTTTATTGAAAAGAACAATGAAGACAATTTTACTTCTCGCCGTAATTTTTTCCTTCTATATTGTCAACGTTCAATCTTTTGGCTGCGATTGTTCATGCTGTACGGGCTCTGGTTGTTCATTAGTTTATCTGGGTACACTTAAAGTTCCAACATGTGCAAGTACAACATGTACAGATGCATGCAAAGCATCGTACACACAATGTTTGCTTGGATCATCAAGTGCTGTTTGTTCCGGAAAGATTATTTTCGACTTTTATACAAATCTATTTATCATCATTTCAACATTTATATTCGTTTTAATTCTCAACAAATAAACAGATTTTCTTTTCCTTTTTTTTGCAACTTTAACAGTTGATTATACTGAGAAAAATACAATAGATTGTATGGCTATGACAGTAGTGTCAAACGCGAAATTTGAATTCAATTATTCGCGTATTCATCACCTTCCGAAGCACTCTCAATAGAATAGTTGAATTCAAGTTATGCATGTGTATTAAAACTGAGTGATTTACTGGCAATTCTAAAACACGATTTTGACGAGGAGAATGTGATTAAGAACGATTTATTGGATTAATTACATAAGCACAACACTAAATAGAGTTTTTCAGCTGAGAATAAAGTTTCATGTCTGATAATGGTTTAGTATCAACGAATTGGAACATTGGTTTGAGTACGCAATGTTGTACCTTGATACATTGCACGATCATTTTCTTTTTCAATTCCGAAAGAACGTTTAAATTGCCGACGAAATCCGGAATTAGTAAATAATAAGATATAGAAACTTGATGCGAAAAAAACATATGACAATAAATGCGTTGATTCAGTAAAAATTTTCTCTCCAGCTTTCTGTAAAGGTGTTTTAGGCCAATCATCAGTTATACTTGTATAAGCTAACTCAACTGCATATGGCACATACGTTATCACAACAAGTACTGATTGTAATAATAACATGATGGTTAGTTTTGAGCTCATTTGTGCAAGAAGAGTTGCATTTTTGTTTAAATTGTGTGCTTGAGGTGAGATATCATCTGCTGTTGGATTAATACGTCGTTCGATTATTTCTCGAACACTTCGAATTAAAAGAAAAGCAAATATGAACATAACAACTGGTGGCAAGATAGCTGATGTAGCGACTTCAAACCATTCATCCCATTCAACGTATATATTCGATGTTGACTTTGGTCCACAACTTCCATTTTCGATTCGATATAAGACAAGACGATGACTGATCAATAAAAACCAAAATATCAAAGATGCGACAATCATTTTGTATGCTAATGAAGGACGATTACTCCATTTTCGAAAATCTTAATAGAGAAAAGCATTTTAGGAAATGTTATTGTAGATTATCTGCAGCTTTACTGTGTGATCGTCTCGTTGACAGAATCCGATCAATCGTCCCAAATGAAAAGAGCGTAAATGAAATTTGGTTTCCCCAAAATGAAAAAAATTGACGAGTCTTACACAGAGCCTCGTAACGCGTTAACAAAGGAATACCAAAACCTTTTTGAAGTATTCTCGTCATAAGAACGAAATTGAAATAAATAAAATCCATAATTGACTGAGAAAACAAATAAATTGAAAACGCATGTGCGCGAAATGATCGAGAACGGAATACAATCAGATTCCCAATGCTGCCAATATTACCTGCTACCCATAGAAATAACCCAAAATATATATTCAAGTCGTAAGGAGCTAATAATAAGCTATTGCTAACACCATGCGTTGTGTTGCTCATCGTCGACGGATATGCGTCTGTCTTTCCGTAACAGAAAAATGAAAAATAGACATTCTTTTGATTCTCAATAATTTATAGGGAGAGAATATTGAAAGAATGACTTTGGGATCTTATTATATCGAAGGAACTTCATCCTAATAATTAAAACGACAGGTCCATTGATAGGTTGAGGTGAAGTATTCTTTATACTATACATTCGTAGTTCTTCGTACGCCTAATGCAGGGAATTTTCAAACTAATTCTAGTCAATAATATCTCGCATATTACTGGAGAAGCTACACTGATTAAATGAGAATATTAGTATGTCGACTGAAATACATAATCAAATTTTCGCCTTTAGCGTCCTGAGTTTCTATTTGTTAAAAATCGAGTAAACCGTATGAAGTTCTTCTAAAAAACAGAATGCCGTCATTAAATTAATCACGAACGAAGGAACACAAAAATTTGAATTATTTACCGTGAATGTAGAGTATTTCAATTCAGTAAACATACTTTCTTTCGATTTTCACTATGACAGTTATCGGACAGAGAAAAATTTTTATTTAATATCGGTTGAATACTCAATTTAGCTTCAAAATTTCTAGAACAAACGTTGAATTATGGGTTAACTGCGTGATGACACAGCCGCTTCAATGAAATTTCTCTATCTCTTTCTGATTTACTCTTGAACACATCTGTCCAAACAAATAACGATGACACTTCATCCAGCACCGACAAGTAAATTATGCTGTATTAATTCAAACACAAAATTAGAAAGTATGAATAACAAGCATTGCACTTTGAAGATTAAATTAGTAAAAGGTCTTTAATCATACTTGCAGTAGAAGAGAAAACTAGAATCTTTCTACCGTTGAATAACATACAACGTCACCAAACACAAACCGTATCCACTTTGCATTGTTCTATATTCGATAACGAGAATACTTGAGCAACAAGACGTTTTTATTCTTTGATTATAAGCATGCACATATGTACAACGTGAATCAATCAATTCTGGGCTAGTGTAAAGCAATAAAAGAAAAAAAACGAATGTTCTCTCATTCTTCGAAGTTCATGGCATGCGTATGAATGCATTTCGTTCATTGCGTACAATATCGATAAGCGCACGCTCCCGGTGCATATAAGCCATGTACATAGTATCCATTGCATTTCGTTATTTTGATCCAGTAAACATATCCGAAACAAGCGTTACCGCCGTAGGCGAAACAAGCAAAGGCATTTATAGTTTGACCAAGAGTTGTCGGATACGTTGCATTAGTCCAACCTGCTGCGAGTGTTCCGCACACCTGTCCTTGGCCTGAATTTGGTGCTGAAGTAGCCAATTGTGTACCGCCAGGACTAGCAAACCGAACATAGGACGGAACATTTCCACTGACACTGTTAAAAACACTTGAATCACAACCGTTGCCTGATCCTTGTGTAGTTAAACGTGCGGCATCAGCAATTGTTGTGTAATTGTAGCATTGTGCCGGCAACGTTGCAACAGTAGTAGCTGAATTACAAAAGAAATACAATACATATATATTCTCTATTTGAGACACTGAAAAGCTTTACTCGATGCTGCGGATGTTGTTGACGCGGAATTTGTCGACGATGGAGGATACAGTGTCGTGGTTGTTTGAAATAAAGTACTGGGTGGTGTTGCTACAACTCCGTATGATGTTGACAGTGCCAATCCGACGCGATTATTTTGCATGTCAAAGACACTGTAGAAATGTCGCATGAAGAAATCACCGAGAATCCAAATTGGATTCGAATTGGCATCGTTTGCAGTGATCGACTGTATAACGACGTAACATATATAGTTCGAAGGACCGCCTGCAATTTGAATATACATCAACGGTGTCAATACGAATGAAGTACTAGTGATTGTTATTGTTATATTTGGAAATGCTGATAAGGGTTTTGTTTGGCAGTTAACTGTGTACTAAAACGAGAGTAGAATGTTGACGAAAGGAGATCTTTTAGTTTTTATTTACCCATCCGATCGATGAATTGTATGTTGCTCCTAATGCCGAATAGATGGCATTTGCGTAAGTTGGCGGAGCTGCAATAGCAACTGTTGTTCCAGTATCCAAAATAGCATTAATTGATGTGGCTACAGTGGTTGTGGTCGATCCAACTGTCAGGCTGACACTGTCGGCAACAAATTCCCAGTAACCTTTGACATTTACATTGGCATATGTAAAACTACCAGTATATTTTGTTGTATCGTAACCACCCAAGATCAGTTCACCCGTGTCAGACCCGGTCGATATTCTACGGTAAACAGAAAATAAACATCAAGATATGGGAAAATGATCGACTTACGGTCCAAACCAAAAACCAAAAATTGGAAGACTGAGCTCACCAGCGAGATACATCGACCATACTACCGGATTTTCACCGCCAGTTGCAATGCTTTGATAACTCATTCCCAATAATCCATCTGATGCGCGCGAACTCATGCCTACAGCGGAAGTAGCCATAGCAAAAGATTGCTTAGCAATAGATATGCCCGCAATCTAAGAAGCAAAAGAAATACAGAGCAATTTTCGTATTTACTCATTTGAATGTATCCTTTTTTCTCTTACGTTGACTGTTTCATTAGCCCATGATCCATTCACATAGCTACCGTCGCCATATAGAATGTAGAACGTTTTATTCAAAGATTTGAAGGTTGATGATGAACCACTGATAAATGTATGATTACCACCTATGATCATAGTACGTAAGGGAAGCTCATATCTGTTAACAAATCAGTTTCTCCTCTTACCACACGAATGGTTACACTGCGCGGCTGGTACCCAAAGATCACCTGATCCGGTATCGAAATCAACATAGAACGATTGTCCTGGCGTACCAATTGTTATCAAACCCATCCAATACGACTGAAAGTTGTACCGAGTTTTGTGATAAGATTAACAAAAACTCTCAAATACATACTCCCCACTGTACGTCAATTAACGATTCATTCGCTGTAGTAGGTGTAACCGATCGTTTAATTTTCCGTGTTGTGTTTATACTAGGACATTTGTTATATCTTTTACCACCACTTCCACATTTACGCTTGACATGCTGCATCATGATGCTAGAAGTGTATTTACATTGAAAAAACTCGTTCTTTTATTATGTTTGGAAAATACATACCGTTTTATCTTCTGTCGAACCTCAGGAGTATGTGACCCGCCGCTTGCATTGGCAGCATTACTCTCTTCGACGACTGCAAGTATAAAAACCAGCAGTAGTGCTACTACGAATAAGAATTTGTTCATATTGTTACTGTTGCGTAAAAGATGTGAATAGCGTATATATACTTGCAGTAATAGTGCATTACGCACTTTTATTTTTCGGTCTAACAAGGGCATGCAAATATACTTTTCTTCTCAGCCGCAACTTGTAAGCTATCTTTTCAATTTCTTTCTAATAAACATCGTAATTGACCGCTATTTTCGTCTCTAATCTGATCAATACTACGCAAAGTGAAAAAATAACCTCTAATTATGGTTTCGTCCACAGGTATTGTTACTCTTTCTATCTTTAGCTCAAAGATGTATGCGATCGTAGATTATGCACCGTTATAGAGTAAAAGATTTTTCTCTCTGTTCGAAAGTGTCGTATGAAAATTCTCACTACTTACTGAGAATAAAACTCACAATGTTCGAGAAAAGTAGAACGAGACAGTCCCTTCTACATTTTTAGAGTGTTGAGCAAAATTCCGTTGTTATATACCTGCAAAACCTCTTCAGCTTTCTCATGCTGTTAAAGTTATGGAGATGAACATTCCGACATATCTAAATAGTGCCATCAGTCGTTGTCGAATGTGTTGTACACTATGAAGGGTACTTCGAACAGTTTGCGACATTTTCTATGAACTAAATGAAGAGTTGCTGTTCACTTCAATTCACAACTATATAAATTACTTCGTCTAAAATAAGATCATTCGTAAAGGACATTTTCCTAAAAACGATCATAAGCTATTTCTTCTGCTAGCTTGCACTACAATATTAGTTCTGACATACAATTTAGTCTGGAAAAGAAAGTATGTTTTTTTTCTAAATAAATCAGACTGACAATGGATGTCATCTGTGCATCTGATTCATTAATCATGAAAGGAAAAGAGAACATCAATATATGCTAAGAGAATTTCTTTGCTTGAATAATTGTGAAGCAGTTGAAGAGAACCATATTTTTTTCATTTGTTTCAAAATGGCAACGAATGACAGTGATTTTGGCGAGGCATTCGATACACTGGAAATCTCACTACCACGTTCCGTTCGATTTTGGTTACTTCTTCTTGTTGACACGCCATCAATTATTTGTAGTTTTATTCTCTTATTTTATCTGTTCGGAAATCGAACAGCTCGACAAGCGTTAAACAATCATGCGATCGTAGTTATAATTCTATTCGGTTTGGGAACTGAATTGATCGATGTGCCACTTTATCTGACATTTATTGTCAATTCTGGCTGGGTTACACCTGCGACTCCAGCTATATGTCTGATCTGGTGGTTTGTCGCATTTGGATTATATAATGGTGGACAAGTTCTCATGGCTTGGGCAGCAATTGAACGACACATTCTAATATTTCATGATAGATGGCTTGGAACAAAGCGTAGTCGATTCATTGCTCACTATTTACCTTTAATTCTTGTACTTGTCTATGTATTCGTCTTTTATGTATACGTACTTTTCATATTTCCATGTGAAAATGTGTATGTTTACGACTTACCAGTATGCGATGCGTATCCGTGCTATCAGGAAGATTCTTTCTTGGGAATTTGGGATTTTTTGGGGAATAATATCTTACCGGGATTTTTAGTTGCCGTTGTCAGTATGGCACTGTTGGCGCGCGTAATTCGACAGAAGCAACGATTGAATCAAGCTGTTCAATGGCGTAAAATACGGAGAATGACCATACAGTTGTTATCAATATCAATCTTGAACGTTATTTTTATTCTACCACTGAATCTTCTTGCACTGGCACATATGTGTGGTTTACCAGAAGACTATGGTGCGCAAATACAACAATATCTTTATTTTGCTGGATACCTTTTTATATTTCTCATACCATTTGTCTCCTTAGCTTCACTGCCGGATTTATGCAAAGAAATTCAAATGAAAATACAATGCCGACGACAATCGCAAGGTCGTGCAAGCACTAATAACGCTCGAACAATTAGCACAGCTCGACGATAGTAGCATTTTGAGGGTGTAAGGATGAAAAAAAAACTGAAGTGGGAAGTGAAGATGCATGAGCGAAAGAAACAGATCAACCTTCGTAGTTCTTTTGTATACAGCAAGATATAATCCATGTTATCGTTCTTTTATGTGCCCAGCGGATGATATAAGAACTACAAACCGGAGAATCTGCAATATATTGCTATCTCTATCCTCTGCAGTTTCTTATCACGTTAGAATCTTGGGAGCATTTGTGGAATAGAAGGTTTTACGTGAACCGTTTTGTTCTTGGCGTTTCTTTTTTGAATGAGCGTTAAAATGTTTGATTTAAATAATATCTTTCATCGAATTCTACAATAAAGAAAAATATCTTCAGAACAAAGTTTTCAAAGTTGAAGAAAACAATTAGTTAAAATCTGCATCAGTTAACATGATCTAGAGTGCAAGTGAAAGGTACTGGCTGGAACCGATTAGAAAGAAAACAAAGCTTTGCTTACGTGTGTCGATTGGTAAATGATGAAAAGAAGTCGGATTTTTTTATCCTCAACTACTGAATAATTAGCAAACCATGTGAAAGGATATTCTTATCTCTTGCAAATGAACTGCACTTTGCCAATTTCTTTTGGTCTGATAAAAAATCTCGATGCATTCAACGCCCGCGGTTAGATATGAATGAAGCTTATGGTATTGAAAAATTTATTTCGCTTGATGAATTCAGACGATACAATGTTTATCAAAGTAGAAGTTGACTTTTTTAGTGAGCCATTAGGTAAAATATATCAAACTATGGGAGATCATTTTCAATAGAAAAATTTCATTTAGAAACTCTTTCGAATATGGAGAGGATATTACTCGTGGTTGAACAACATACGGAAATTCTTAATTTTGATGGAAAATTTCTCGTAAAGTTTGATAATACTTAAGTATCTATGCTAGGTCATGATGTTTTGCTTATTAAAAAACATGTGAACTACATTGAATATCTGTAAACTAAATTATAATCGATATAACTAATCAGAGGCTAACTTTCAAATTCTACTGATTCTTAAACGCATAGTAATGATGTTTCACATCAAGTGCCATGTGATTTTCTACAATCTTGAGTTAGACTAAGCGATTCAACTAACAGTGATTGGAAGGTTAGCTCAGGATTACTGAATCTAAGTAGATAGCTAGCTAGCACTGTTTCTCATTAATTTCATCAATTTCTCTGTATATGAATCATCATGGTCATGCGACACGATTCTTAGCAATTGCACCGATTATATCACATTTTAGTTTAAACTACAGTAAATAAATAGTTTACTATCGATTAATTTTTATCCTAATGGAAAATTTTATCTATGGTATGATTGTGCGTCTCATTCATTCTTTTGTTCCTTTCTAACGATAGCACTCCAGTAGAGGTTTAGCCAAGGTGATTGTGAATCAATAAAAACATAGTCATGAGTATTTTGTTGCTGTTCTTCTCTTGTAAACAACAGGACACAGAAAAGAAAAGAAACTATTTCTTTTTTGCATCGGTAAAAGACATACTGTGAACGAGAAAAATCTTCTCTGTGACAATTTAAACTTCGATGTTTTCAAAGTACGTTTGCGTATCGCTTGTTAAAAAGATTACATATTGGTTTTCAGCTATTAAACTTATTTGGCGACATGTCGGAAGCAATGTTGGCGTTTGCAAGTAAAGCTGATAAGTTAAGAAACAAAATGGCGCAGAGACGCTCGCTGAATAGTTCAGGTTTAATGCTGATTCAAAAAGTGACATCTCATTCTCTATCGGACGGTAAACACTTTGTTGCGACCTAATCCTAAGTTTTGATTCTGATGAAATAGGAGACATTGTACCTGACGTACCAATTAATCTAGAAGGTTATCGTGGTAAAGTTGGTCGAATTTTCTCGTTTGCAGTTACAGGCAATACAGATGGTCCTATATGGGGTACGGATATTTATACGGACGATTCGAACATCGCTACGGCTGCCGTACATGCTGGAATTATTGATATAGGCGAAACCAAGATCGTCGATATTAAGGTCTTTCCTGGACAACAGGCCTATTTTGGTAGTACTCGAGAAGGTATAACATCTTTGTCGTACGGTAAATGGAGTGGAAGTTTTTTCTTTACTAAAAAGCCGCTTAATTTTGATATGACCATACCAAATGTCCAAATGTTTCGGGATAAGGTCGGACAGATTTTGTCGTTCAAGATCACAGGCAGTGATGAAGGGCTTGTGTGGGGCACACATATTTATACAGATAATTCAAATCTCGCTACTGCTGCCGTACATGCTGGACTCGTCACCAAAGGTGAAAAGAAAGTGGTTCATATTCAAATCCTACCCGGTCAATTTAATTATCATGGAATGACACAAAATGGCATCTCTTCCTTGTCCTACAACACGTGGGAAGGCAGTTATGCATTTTGTTCCAAACCACAACAATAACTATGATCTTTTAAATCGTTTTCTTTCTGAAATGGTTCCATGATATATAGCGGTTACGTTTTGATTTGGTAGATTTTCGTGAATAAAAACTGATTCTTATCACAAAACATTAAATGGAATACTGTTTATCATCAATTTTGCATGGATTAACACCGAAGTTATTTTTAGTTAATTTCAATCGTTTGTGAATGATTAAATCGGTCTTTCTGTCGAGCAAAAGAACTGTACAGAAAAATAATTGACTATTCATTTTTTTCTTTGTTCTCTTCTCTGCAGAAAGAGGCAGTTATTATTTATCGGCATATTTAAGATGAGTAATCAAAGAGCCATTTATTCTTTATGCGATAACTGGAATTTTTACGATTGATTCTGTCGTTTGAGTTGTAATAAAAAAGCACTTGTGTTTTTTTATCACGTTCTCTTCGCCCCTCAATTCCATTTTCACAAAAGCATATGAGATAAAGTATTTTTTTCTATACACGTGATCAGCATGAAAAGAAAGATGGAAGTTGCATTTCTACTACTACCACTACTGATATTCGAATGGAAGACATTAGCGATCAAGTATGAATCAGCGGATGACAGTCATGATCTTAAAGTGGCACTTAGCGATGAGTTTATTGTGGGTGTTTCGAACCTTCGCAAGATTTATAATTTTTATTCAGTATCGAATATAACTCAAAACTCTTCATGTACGACTAACAATCCGCACTCTGAACTCAATATCTACGGTCTTTCAGTGTTGAAGATGAAACAAAATCACGTAGTCTCATTCGTTCAACTTGCCGAAAATAAAACATCGAAATCTACTGTATTTTCTCGAATTACTATGAATTTAACAACGTGCGACAGCGATTCTGGATCGCAGCCTGTTTTTCAACACCTAACAGTATGGACGAAAGGTCGTCAAGAACATATGTTCCTCAAAGTCGATCGGCGAGAAAACTTCGCCTATATCTTTGCCGATTCGTTTATATTTTCGTACGATTTGCTTCTCAATCAGATCGATCAAATCGATAGAACGAATTTCATCATGTTCGATAGCAGCTATGAATCATTTACTCCATATGCATTCGATATAAAAAACGATTGGGCTGCTGTTGCTGGATCTCATTCCATACAAAATCAATCTCGAAGCAAACAATGCCTTTATATATTAGGACTTCAACCACTACGGGTGATCAATGTCAGCACGATTGGTTCAAACGATCTTCAAGGACCTGACAGAGCTACTTACAATCAAGACTATGATATATCACTTTCGATTAATCCTTCGGGAACGGCAATAGCCATTGGCGAAGCCCAACTGAATAAAGTCACAATTGCATATATGAATGGAGATGATACATTTCCGTTCGTTTCAAAATTTCATGAGATCAGTGAACCTGAGAATTGGACTGGCTTTGGTCGTTCAGTGATCTGGCTCAATGACGATGAAACACTGGCAATACTTGTACTTAAATCGAGGAATCACATTTCGTCGAAATCCGAGATACAAGTGTATGAAAATATATCTCACAATCGAACTCGTGGCTCGATTATACCGAACTTTGTTATTCCAAACAATCAACAAACATTGAATAATATTCAACGCTCGAAGTCTTCGCGTAAACATTCTTTTCATCGTATTCGAGCACGTTCGAATAGTTTGTTAATTCTTCTGAAAAATGCTGATGTCGTCTTTATTCCATCTGCTGATGCTGGCTTGTGTTCGATGGAGCTCTCATCAGTAAACTTTCGAAATCTATATATTTTGCAACCGAGACCATGTGTGAGCGGATCGTATAAAAACGCATCGGGTCCTGGTCCGTGCACGATTTGTCCACCGGGTACAAAAAATCCGGGAAATTATCCAGCAACTGTATGTCAACCTTGCAATTCAAGCACCTTTTGTCCGTTGGGTGCCACAAATGATGTTGATCTAACTAACTTTCGTTCATATATTCAAACGTTCAGTTATCCTGACTCACCTATTATCGATGATTATGATGATTTATTGTTGTTAAACTTTTTCCCGACGAATATGAAAGCTAGTTGTTTGGTTTTGACACCTCTCTTCTGGACCGCAGTGGCTACAATATTATGTTTAATAATGTGGTTTACTATGTTTCTCATCAAACGACGACGTCCAACAGTGATCAATAGTTATCGTCAACGAGCAAAGAGCGTTTTAAAGCACAATGATCTGATTGGAGAAGGAGAACGATGGATTGGTGGTCTGGCATCCATCATCATTTTTACTATTATCATACACTGTGCTATATTCTCCTTCTTTTACTTCCAATCATATCCGATCGAAACAGCAGAAGCAGTGGACAAAGTATGCGATAACACTCAACGGAATTCCAAATTCGATAATGCCCTTCAATTGCCTTTGCCCGGAAATGATGGCACCTATTGGAAAATATTCGACATGCTCAACAAACAGCCATTCACAATGACTTTACATCTAATCAATACACGAGTTCAGTGTGGTGACATCACGGTTGAACGCAATAGACATACGGGTACTCCTCTATCGATAGGCGAGACAATTTGCGCATTGTCACCGATCAATGACAGCATTTCGTTTAGTTTTGCTCTGCCTACCCATACGTCAACTGTTCGCGCTAGTATTAATGGGCCTTATTTCATCGGGGCACTTCGTCTCTGTCTCTATGGAGAACCCGATGCCGAAATGGAAGAATCGGCATTGCATCAATTACGCGAACTTGACATATGTACTCTCTTCCATACAAATAATCAAACCATTGGACTCTCAACAGGTTTCACTGTACGTCTCATCAAAGTTATCAATGTAACAAAGCCACTGAGACGCAGTGACCGAACATATTACGATGGTATATGGGCGCCGTTTATAACCTACACCGATGTTCTCTCGGATGAAGCGTATTTTGCAGAAAAGGGCGAATATTTGCGATATGCTTCTGAACAAACGACAATTAATATTGAATTTAGGGAAGAGATCTACTTTGTTCAAAACAATCAATCGCCAATTATACGTCGAGGAGCACTCTTCTTTCGAACAATTCTTTTTAGCTTTTCCCTTATAGAAATATTTGCAATGGCTTTCCTTCTGTACAAGCTTTGGTTTCATCCCATCCATCGACGTATTCTAACATCTCGTGATGATCTAGTTGATGATGAATTGCAGATGAACCAAGCACAACATGACTCGCACGTATCGTCATTATCAAAACACCAAACGTTGGCGAGAAAACGAGGAAATATGAATGGACGATGTTGGAATCGCCAGAAATCCCATCGTACAAAAGATAACAGAGAACATCCAACAAAACTAGAGACCATCGAATACTTAGATGAACCATTAACTCCACCGTCTCTTCTGACGACTTCGTCCAATCCAATAGAACACTAAAAAACCGACACTTTCTCGGTAACATCATATTAGTATTCTATAGAATGATGAAATACAAAAACAATTTTTTGCATAAATAGGAAAGAAAGACAAACATAACACGTACGAAATGTGATTCTAATGAGAAAATTGTTGTTGCAGCCTGTGTGCTTTACGTGTCATTTGTTCTTCTTCATACAGCAAAAGAGATGAATAGGAATAGCGAGCAGAAACATCAATTCATTAATTACCTTCGAAATATTGAAAACTGGTTAAAAATATGAACTCATCCGAGAAATTCGAACAGTACGACGAAATTATTCGAAAATGAAGATATTGATGAGTTTTGTTCTCATTTTTGTGAACATTTCGAAGATGTTTTTGCTGATTTATCGCCCAAAACACGAATTGCATTTATGATCATGACGTTAAACATGCTCGTTCGTGTATATGACGCCGACCAATTCGAAATGATCATTTATGAAAAGTAAATCAGAGTCGCACTCTTATTATCATCCTTCATCCACACTAAGATGTGTTTAAAAAAGTTTTTGCCAATAAATAGATGTACACGCGCAGACATAAGAAAAATCTTCATATTTTTATCGGGCACTGCCAAACAAACCAACAGGTTTCCCAGCAGCTTTTCTCATGAAACTGAAATTTTGATTATAATTCCGTACGGCTTGTCGGCACCATTATCAGTTCAGTATTGCTATTTACGAAAACTAATCGATGGCAATAAAGAACGTACTATAAATCTTGGAACCTCTACAGGAATTGTTTTTTTTTGTATTATAGTAACTCAAAAGCGCTGACATTCTGGCATTCTATTCCTAAAAAGTAGATCACTATTATTGCGGAGTTTTCTATTTTTGTCCTCATCATAAGCGAGATACAGCTGCGATAAAAAAACTTAGAAATTTTGTTGTAGAAACTGTATTTGTTTATATATGTTACTTTAAAGATGTTTTATATCTTGTCTGATAGCCCATGGTGAGTAGTATCGTACAATATATTGCAATCTTTTACTCATATCTCTCGACAAGGAGAAAAGATAAAACCTGTTTTTACTGACTATCAAAAAATTGGTCACAACATTATAAATTCAAGTATTTTGTGTACTTTTAATTGGAGAAAAGGACGAACTGTTTTCCGCTAAAACTCATCTCAACGCTCAGTATACATCAGCGGTAGTAGACTGTACACATCAATGTTAATAAAAGTACCCACTCTCACGTTAGTTCTAATTTGTAATATGTTCTGAAAAGCAATCACTTTTATTTCGCTTAAAAACATTCGATTATCCTCTCGAATATATTGATCAATGCTTTTCTCATCGGTTCACAGGCCGCATTGGATCGATTTTTTTTATTTCGGTAGTTAACTGAATTTGTTTATGCTAATTAAGTAATATCATGATCATGATGTACAACCCATGGTAAAATGCATTTATTAAAGCTCACCATAGGAATTCATAGTAGGTCTTGTTTATGTAGCACAATACTAAGATCGACTTTTCAGTCGTCTTGCGTCGACAAGGGAACGTTTTGTATAAAAATAATAATTTTGTTCAAGTTTTTTTTAACTACAGCTGTATATAAGTTAATATTCTAGGAATGTTGTTTTTCTTATCTTCTAAATTAGGGTCACACATCGTATCATGCACGCTAATAAAAAATGTGTGCATACTTTCTTCTAACAACCGATTCACCAGCAAATCAGTCCAAGTTGGTCTTGTAGATGAGTTCAGTTGGCTGAATGAAGGAGCAAATCATATACCAAACAAGTTTCAATAATCCTCCCGTCACCCTCACTCTCAAGAAAAATTGACAATGAACAAATACAAACGGACCGATTCAATTATGACGTAGACATAATGTCGGTTCATTATTATATTGCTTCAATACGTGAAGTAGTTCATTACTGTCGCCGTCCTCCTCTTAAGACGGCAAATTTTTCATCAGTAGTCGAGGATATCTTGCGATACAATAGAAAATTTATATTCACCAGTCAGTATGGTTGTACGAAAAATTTTATTTTTTTATCTTTTGTATTCAACTCGACCGAAAAATCGATGCAATACAGATTGGTTTATTTAATAAATATACCATATCATATCATTCGAGTTGGCTTTTACCAATCGGATTTCCTTTTTTACCTGTTAATGGAATCGCTGCAAATTTGAGAATATACTATTTAAAAGAAGTCAACCCTCGATGGTTTGTCATTTAATGTGTCATAATAATGGACAGTGGTTGTCATATGTTAACATTGACAAATTCTTCTGTTTTCGCCATTTGAAATGGACTAGTGAACACTTTGACATCGCAGTCAAGTCTAATGATTGTTCTAATGGTTCAGTTTCCGTTGAGAGACGATGCATTTTGCCGTGGGTTTGTCCAAACACTAGTCAATGGATAGCGATTGATGATAACGAGATCAAATCCTCTCAATTTGTACGGACCTGTTCTGATGGAAGTTATCGTTTATCGTGTAACCCTGATGGCCAGAAAGTCGAGATTCATTTAAGTAGTAAGATCGAACCTCCGTCACATATTTATTCATCAGATTCATAGGAGTCTGAATAACTGGAGAACGAATGTTCTAATTAAAAAGTTGTTTCATAATTAAAAGCAAATTATGATTTATACAGATAAAACCATTTCGATGCTCTTTCTTCAGTTTTCAACAGACCACTATTATTTTGCCTTATAGTGTGAAAGGATGAATATAAGTCAACTTATACTCAAACATTGATAACACACAATCAACGATGTCTATACGTGAATGAATTGTTCAATTCATCGATATTATGCATGCTGCGTGTACAGCGAATCAAATATTATCACATACCGTGTAAAAATCGCGAGAAACTAGTGTTTTTTATGATGAAATCTACATGTGTCTACGTACCCGAGATAATTATTCGAATTGTTTTGATTTCAATCGTAAAATCACATTTGAATGTCGACTGAATGTTTTTTCTGAGAACAACGGTATGTGCTATCAGGATGACATCACATGTCCGTCAAGTTCCATGTGCATCTGCTCCGATTGTTAGTTTGGTACGCGATGTGAATTCTACGCGAAAAGCTTCGATTTGACATTAGATGGTACACTTCACTGTGAAATTCAACGTGGTTCGCACTTTCTCAACAAACATTAGCGATTAAAGTCAGCCCTGGAACGGCGCTCTCCATGTTTTTACTTGGTTTATTCAATGGGATCTGCTCGTTTTTAACATTTGGTCGGCACAAATCACATCACAACATGTTGGCTGCGGAATATATTTATTTGTGTCATCAGTGACAACAATATTTCCAATGATATTCTTCTTAATAAAATATCTATTCGTTCTTTTGTCATAAATGGATTTGATTCGCAATCGTGTTGCTCTGCAATTGCATTGTAAATTGATTTACTTGGACAGTTGATTGGATGTGCTTACTCGGTGTTTAGTGGTATAGGTTTCAATAAAAAACAAAGTAAATACTTAGCAAAACGAATCATAATCCTTTCTTGGATGAATATTTAATTATCAATTGTCCACGAATCAATCTATCGTGAACTCTACGATGATCACGACGAGAATCGTATGTGGTGTGCTACATACTATTCGAACTTTGTTCAAAGTTATAATTCAGTGATAATATTTCTTCATTTCTTGATTCCATTTTTGGTGAATTTCTTTTCGGTATTGTACATCATAATAATGACAGAACGTCGACGTAAATCGAGTCAGTCGAAATGAATAGCTCTACAGCATCTTGTCAAACAGATTCCAGAGTACAAGCAAATTATCATCACTCCGATACTCCTTGTTATTTTATCACTGCCACGTTTGATTATGTCATTATTAATAACCTGTATCAATCCATCGAGAAACTCATCGCTATTTCCAATCGCTTATTTAGCTTCGTTTTTGTCCTGACATCTGACTTATATTTCAAATAACGTTAAGGATGAATTCAATTCTGTTTTAAACAATGGAGACGATGAGAGAATAATCACTTGTTGTGCGGATACAAGTAGAACAATAATGAACGTCATGATTAATGTTTTTTCTTTATTATAACGAATGCTTTCGATGTGATCCTCTTCTTTATGGAACGCTAGGCAACTTTTGACGGTCTAGAATTGCAATTCATTTCAGACTGGTGATGTTCAAATAGAGGAGGAAAAGACTTTGTCATGTTTCTACGGGATCAGATACGATAGCCTGCAAATTGAATTGAAATATGTGAGAAACTGCCACGCCCACGATCTCAGTCAGTTATAATTCTTCGGCTCGTAAATTGCATCATATATGATATGAAAATTGAGAGAAAAAAGGTAGTCAACATAAATCGAAGAAAAATATAAACATGTTTCGCGATGGTTGACTGATTTTCTTTTCTATTGACGTTTGAGTCAATGGACATACAAGCCGAAATGCGTATTTCTACTTATAAATAAAGGTAAAATATCGCTTGTTGTCATTTATAATTTCATTCATCGAATAGTACACAAAACAATGTATGGTAGACACGGTTACGGTGGATATCCCTCAAGTTATGGTACGTCATTTTCAGAAGCAAGAAGCGATGCGTGGATTAATGCAAATATCCCAGGAGGAGTGAACAGTAAGTATCGGACATTTCTCGTGAAAAAATAAGTACGAATGAGTCTGGTCGATTTTAGGTGTTCTCGGTGAACGATTGGATAACTTTATGGGCGGAAATCCAAATCCAACATTTGGTCAAGTGTACGGTGGCGAATTTGGTGTAAATGGTTACGGAGGTGGATATGGTTATTCAAGATGGTAAACAACTTCATCTTATTCAAACTATCGTTTGACTCTTTTTTTCGCAATTAATGTTCACATATGAAAAACTAAAAATCTATCTTTGAAATTCTAATCTAAACTCTTTTCTAAAACTTAACTCATTCATTGCAATATACAATTATAAACTCGAATATAGATGATGGAATATTAAAAATACGATGTATATTTTCTTTACTGATAGAACTATTAGTGATGTGAGGGTAATGATGGCGAAAACCTTTGTCTGCTGAAGACGTTAAAATCTTGAGATAAGGTTCGTTTTTTTTACTTTCGCAGTGCAAGACTTTTGCATTTCTTCACTACTTCAGGTATTGACATTAGGCATATCATTGATAGAATCAATGGTATAATCTAAATATTAAAAAAATCCTATCTGTTTGTTCTAAAAGAAAATTTGGATCAATATAGTTTTTGTCCAAGTTGAATGACTACGACGGGGATACAAATGACTAGATATATAAACGAGATCATTTTCAATTGCAATCCCATTTTCCTATGCCGATGCCAAGTATTCTGTGTCCGATCAATAGCGGTCATATCGTGATAAATAACATGATCAAAAAGAAAACTATTGAAGATTAAAATGGTAACAACTAGCCAAATTATATTGGAAAAAAAAGATCGACGACATCCAACTTGCGAATAAATAGCACGGTAAACCACATGTCGACGAATCATTCACCTATGTAAACGAAAACGAGTTTTATCCAACTTGAATATAAACTCGCTCCTCCTAAACTAGACATTTAATTTAAGAATCTTTTGAAATGTCACGAGTTCCAGCAGTTTCACGTTTTTTACATGCTACTGGAATCTGACTGGTCATCTCTATTTGTTCATGACAGCCTCCGCCGACACTTTGCACTACATCGCTAATCAAATCTACATCTATGAGTGGGGTGGCACAATTCTCCTATAGGTCCCTTTGACAATCTAATCAACATCATTCTCTTTGTAACTCGCTTGAAAGATAGTGTCTGTATTTGTTGGTTGCAGAGATATTCGATATAGACTATTCATAAGGTGCATCAGGCTTAGTTTCTCTTGCAATACTTTGTCTAAGCGCACAATCGGTCGGTACTTTTTTCACGTCTTCAATCGCTGCAGCCATCTTCGTTTGCGCTGCACAAACTATTGGGTGTTTCCATGGGAAACCACCAGGTCCATTCGGCGACCAGCTCCGATTTTGACGAAACTTTTTGGGTTTGTAGAGCTTTTCAAGCTGAGCATTTTGATATAAAAATTTTTTCGATTTGACCTTTCTTTCGAGGAGATATAGATGAAATACGAAGAGCACGCTTTTTGCTG